ATTATTTTGTTTTTGAATAAATATAATTTTTTCTTGATATACACGATGAGCAACTTGATGAATTAATCCTTCTATTATTAAATATATAATATTTATCAAAATAATTTAAAAAGAGTGAAATTTATTAATAAATTTCTTACCAGCCCAATAATCAAAACCTTTATTGTATGCATTTGTTAAAATAGATTTAACTCTATTAAGTGCTTGATTTCTCATATTATCGATTTTTCCATCACCAAAATATGCAATAGTATTAAAATCATTAATCATATTGATATAATATAAAAGTCCAATAGTTGCTTCATAATTATTTCTATTCTTAGTACCAAATGTAGAAGTCCAATGATTAATAGCTTGTGAGACAATTTCATTAATTTTTACTGAAGATAATTTATTCATATTAAAAATATTTTATAATTTCAGAAAAATTAATAATTTTGTTCAATTTATCATTAATTGATTCATTATCAGAAAATTTTATATTCAAATTCTCAAGAATTTTATTTATTTTTAAATTTTGATCAGATAATAAATTATTATTTGATTCATTATTTATTTCATTTTCTTCAGAATTATTATTTAAATCATTTTGATCATTTTTATTTATTAGTAATAATGTTTGAAAGACATGATGTGAAACTTGATGAAGTACTTCTTCAGCCCAATACCAATATTTTCTACCATAAATTTCTGTTATGATACTTTCAACAGCATATTTTGAATTTTTTTTTATTTTTTCAATATATCCATCATGATAATTCCAAATAGTAGTAAAATGATTATTTATCATGTTAATAAATTCATATAATCCACTTTTTACAAGTTGTGTATTTTCATGTTTTGTGTTAAAAAATAAAGTCCAATATTTAATAGTTTCATTAATAATTTCTTCAATTTGTTCATTTGATAATTTTTTCAAATCTTCTTTATTTTTATTCATTAATAATAATTCTTGGTAAACACGATGAGAAAATTGATGTAAAAGTTCTTCTTGCCAATAAATAGGTTTTGGATTATATTCATTAGTTAAAATATCTGTAAGATTAATTTTTGCATTGAGTCTAATTTTTTCATAATGTGGATCATTATAAAGCCAAAGTTTCTGGTAATTATCATTAATCATATTGATAAATGATTTTAATCCAATTATTGCAAGATATGTGTTTACATGTTTTGTTTTAAAATAAGTCGTCCAATGATCAATTGTATAATTAATAATTTCATTAATTTTATTTTCAGATAATTTATTCATAAATTTATTATTATTCTCTTGTTAGATAAATATTGAATTTATAAAAAATAAAAGCTAAAATATTTATAAGTATATTTTTATAATTAAAAAAAAAAAAAAATAAATATAAAGAGAAATTTTACTTTTTTTTTTTAATAAAAAAAAAATGTCATCAAGTAATTTAAATCAAAATTCAATATCTGAATTAAATTATGGTGTACTTGAACTTTTGATTAAAAGAGTTGGAGATCTTGAATTATCTACATTGGAAGAAA